TGAGTGTGTGTGAGTTGAGGCGAGTGAGTGTGTGAGTGAGTGAGTGTGTGTGAGTTGAGGCGAGCGAGTGACTGTGTGAGTGAGTGAGTGAGTGTGTGTGAGTTGAGGCGAGCGAGTGAGTGTGTGAGTGAGTGAGTGAGTATGTGTGAGTTGAGGCGAGTGAGTGTGTGAGTGAGTGAGTGTGTGTGAGTTGAGGCGAGCGAGTGAGTGTGTGAGTGAGTGAGTGAGTGTGTGTGAGTTGAGGCGAGCGAGTGAGTGTGTGAGTGAGTGAGTGTGTGTGAGTTGAGGCGAGTGAGTGTGTGAGTGAGTGAGTGTGTGTGAGTTGAGGCGAGTGAGTGACTGTGTGAGTGAGTGAGTGAGTGTGTGTGAGTTGAGGCGAGCGAGTGAGTGTGTGAGTGAGTGAGTGAGTGAGTATGTGTGAGTTGAGGCGAGTGAGTGTGTGAGTGAGTGAGTGTGTGTGAGTTGAGGCGAGCGAGTGAGTGTGTGAGTGAGTGTGTGTGAGTTGAGGCGAGCGAGTGAGTGTGTGAGTGAGTGCGTGTGTGAGTTGAGGCGAGCGAGTGAGTGTGTGAGTGAGTGAGTGTGTGTGAGTTGAGGCGAGCGAGTGAGTGTGTGAGTGAGTGAGTGAGTGTGTGTGAGTTGAGGCGAGTGAGTGAGTGTGTGAGTGAGTGTGTGTGAGTTGAGGTGAGTGAGTGAGTGTGTGTGAGTTGAGGCGAGCGAGTGAGTGTGTGAGTGAGTGAGTGAGTGTGTGTGAGTTGAGGCGAGCGAGTGAGTGTGTGAGTGAGTGAGTGTGTGTGAGTTGAGGCGAGTGAGTGAGTGTGCGCAAAATACTGCCGTGCGCAATTGTCTGCCACGTTTCGCCCACAAAATACACACAGTCGATTCCCTTAACGGTATATCCTGTGAAGGGCTTTGAGACATATCGAAGACGTGATAAGGCGCTGTATCAAATGAAAGGATTATTATTATTTTACATTTATAAACGGTCAATAAAGCAAAAGCATCAATTATTTGTCAAAATCTGACCCTGGTTACATTTAGTGTGTGCACCATTAGCAGCTGATATCAAACTATATCTGGTTTACCCAATAATATAAACCATTGCAGGGAGTCTGCTAACAAGTGTGTGGTATATCTTGCATAACAATAATAATAGTAGTAATAATAATAATAATCGTGCCTTATCACATCTTTGAGACGTCACGGAATATACTGTAATGTGAATTAACTGCATTATTTTGGGCGAAACACGGCAGCAGTGTCCCACAAACAGTCGTGGATTGAGCGACCAAATTACTTGATGCGACTTACGTGTGGTTTACTAATCTGTGACAAAGTCTAACTAACCATTGTTTGAGTAGTTATTATCTGCGATTGAGTCCAGGCTCCAGCGGGGGAGTGAGCACCGGTTCTCATAGACACGATAAGCCGAATGGCATTTCTGTGTTCAACAAACATGATATGATTCAACACTAATTGTGGCAAGGACTTGCACTTATATACTTCCTCGCACATAACAGTGTGATTCTAAGCAGGGTGGGAGATGGGAGGAGATGGTGGGAGATGGTGTGGGAGGGTGGGGTTGTAGCATTACATTACCGAAGAACAAGTTGAATTTATGAATTTTATCCTCAAATAGATAGACTGTTCTGGGTTTATTGTATGTATTTACTACAGTGTCAGGATTCAATATAGCTTTTGCTTGACTGACACCACCTATGTTCACTGGGTTAAGCTGGGACCCTCTGTATAGACCTGCTATTGTAAGTTCAGTGCATATGCTGAATTTTTGCATTCGACGTCATTGGGGCGTCTCAAAGCGCTTCACGGAATATACTGTAAAGTGGACTGATTGACTGTGTATTTTGTGGGTGAAACCCGGCAGCCGATTGCAGCGTATGGTTCATAGACAGACATACATAGAGTTATTGCACCTTTACTGGACTTGTTCGAACATAGTTAAAGGCTGATAAAGATGATTGTGTCCTTGGTGTTGCTACGAGATTGCAGTGCAGATGCATTTCCATCACGATTGCTAGAATACAGTATTGTGGAGACTCCTCCATTTAAACACTGTGGATTTATTACGCACTAACTATTATGTAGAAGGTCATTGCTAAGGGTCCACTTGTATGATCACTCATATTCTGACAACCTGGCTATAAAGACTAGAGAGATCGCCCTTATAAACTGATTGAACCTGTATGTTTCCCATCGTTTTCCGATCGATCTACTCATTATCTGGAGAGAGAACTGAATATACCGGTCATTACTGGCTGCTGAAACCCACTAAGGGTCTTCCTACGGTTTATCAAAGTCTCAGTGCTTTACTGTGCGCTCACTGAATATTGTCAGTGGTTTTGCATTGAACACAAACTCACAACCAAAACGCATTATACTGGACTGGTTCTGAGTCACTCTCAGTGTCAGTCACTTTACCAGAGGTAATAATAATAATTTGGACAACGAATCCACGATTGCTTGTGGGACGCTGCTGTACACAATTGGCTGCCATGTTTCGCCCACAAAATATACAATCAATTCACTTTAAAGTATATTCTATGAAGCTCTTTGAGGCGTCTCGAAGACTTGATAAGGTGCTATATCAAATGCAAGGATTATTATTATGGTCACATAGTCAGTCAGTGCAATATGTATAAAGAGCTCCGTTTGAAAACAAAATGCATATTTTTAGTTTACAACCATTCTAATTTAATTCTAACTCATCTCATTAAACAGCAATAACAAAACCACATTTTTTTAACAGTAAAAAATCCGATTAAAAAAATAATTTGTCCTAATCAAATAATTAAAATGTAAATTTGATCAAATCTAAGAAACAAAATCAAATTTTTTGAAACAATTGCACATCTCGGCAGATCAACAGCCCCTTTTTTGGGGGAGCGGGTGTTGTTAAAAGAATATATTCTCTTCGTGCAGTTTATAAAGGAAAGTGTTAAAGGGAGAGTGGGAGAAAGGATTATAACACTGTCACGGTTCAAAATAAAGTGTGTGAATTCAACATGACATGACTTGTGATTTGCTATGAAAATCTGGGAGAGCGAGAGATGTCATAATAATAATCCTCGCATTTGATACGGCGCCTTATAATAATAATAATAATCCTTGCATTTGATATAGCGCTTTTCACGTCGGGAGGACGTCCCAAAGCGCTTCACAGACCACACTGTAAAGTGAATTGACTATATATTTGTGGGCAAACGTGGCAGCCAATTGCCCACAGCAATGTCCCACGAACAGTCGTGGATTGAGTGACCAAATTATTATTATTTTTTGTAGGGATTATTACTCCGGGAAAAGCTATTCGCCATTCGACTAACAACCGGGTTTCTACTTACCGCTGGGTAAACAGAGGCGTGTGGAGTAAGGAAACTTGCCCAATGTTTCGCCCTGACCCGGGAATCAAACCCAGGTCTCTCACCTGCGAGGCGCGAATGCTCTAACCACTGAGCTACAGGACTCCTCGGATGTTGATCCCAGGGAGACCAACATTGTTGTTTTATTGTTGGGGTGGGGGGTGGATTAAAAGAAAATCCCTTTGTGTCGAGGATAAAGGTTTTCCCAGCATCTCACATCACAAGTCATGTCATGTTGATGTCAAACACTTTTTGTTTATTAAGCTGTCGTAATGTTATAATCTCCCCCCTTTCCCTTTAACGCTTCCCCTTTTTTTTTTACCCGAAACCCAATCCACTGCCCCCAAAACGTACAAAGGTAAAGAGGAAAGTGTTAAATATAATAAATGCAATTATAATGTGATTATTATAATAATTATAGCATAGTATAATAATCCTTGCATTTGATATAGCACCTTATCATGTCTTTGACACGTCTCAAAGCGCTTCACAAAATGGTCTGTAAAGTGAATTGACTATATTTTGTGGGCGAAACACGGCAGCCAATTGCGCACAGCAGCGTCCCCACAAACTGTCGTAGGTTGAGTGACCAATTTTTTTTAAAAAAATGATCATTATAACTATTCGGTTATATAACTACAATCGAATAACCATCATAGCATTATAATAATAATTCCGATCAGATGATCTCATCTAACAATCAATATAATAATAATAATAATAATAATTATTAGATTAGATAATTATAACATTATAATGATCAGATTATAACACTAATGGGGTAGAATTCCTGGCTTGGCTTCCTTAGGGCAAAGACTTTTGTTTTTGCCTGGGTGGGGGGTGGGGGGAGAGTGGGGGGAAAAGCTGGGAGGAATGAGTTAACGTGGGAAGGAAGCATCATTGGCGTCGAGGTTATAAAAGCGAGTTAAAGCTCAAACCAGGCTTACTCTGTCTCAAGCAGCTCCTGTCTCTACCCTACACTGGCTCCAAGCACACGGCAGTCTGCTCTGCTCCGCTCAGCACCGCTCCATCGCGAGCTAAACAAACTTGGCATTTTATTCATTACTATTCCTTCTGTTATTTGGGGATCAAGCCATCGGACGAGCAACTGTTTTCGAGGAACAAAACAAGCCGAATAAAAAAGAAGAGTGAGACAGAGAGAGAGCGAGAGAGAGAGACAGGAGGAAAAACTCTTATCTTTCAAGCGTTCATAGAGATATTCAGGCGAGTGTGTGTGTGTGTGTGTGTCTGTCTGTTTCTCTCTCTTACTCTCTCTCTCTCACACGCACACACACAGACGGTACCGTGTTGTTAGTTCTCCCCAGCCTATGGATTTGAAGTGAAGATAGGGGATTATATTGGACTGTAGTTTACAGAGAAAGAGAGACAGAAAGAGAGAGAAAGCGACAGAGAAAGCATGTAATCTCTTCTGTAAGCTGAGAGAGACAGAGAAAGAAAGAGAAAGCATGTACTTCCTTCTCTAAGCTGAGAGAGACAGAGACAAGACAGAGACACGGCGAGAGAGAGAGAGAGAGAGAGAGAAAGCATGTAATCCCTTCTGTAAGGTGAGAGAGACAAGCGAGAGAAAGAGAGAGAGAAAGCATGTACTCCCTTCTCTAAGCTGAGAGAGGCAGAGACACACAGAGAGAAAAAAGAGACAGGAAGAGAGACAGGGCGAGAAAGCATGTACTCCCTTCTCTAAGCTGAGAGAGACAGAGAGACAGAAAGAGAGACAGAGACAGAGAGAGAGAGAGACAGAGAGCATGTGCTGCCTTCTGTGAGCTGTGAGCAGGTTGAGGATGCCAGTGATTCCATAGTTAACTTGAGGAGCGATGATGAACTAGAGAGCAGGGTGATGCCTTCTCCACGTGCCTCTCCCACCAGCACAGGCACCACCCTGGGTGTGGGCACCACCACCAGCACCACCAACAACAGCCTCTGCCTGTGGAACTGCAGCTCCTCCTGGGTGTGGAATGGGACGCCGGTGCCCGTCGTGGGGGAGGGGGAGGTTTACCCGCTGGAGCCCGCCCTGGCCCTCATCTCGGTGGTCTCCCTGATGATCGTGGCCATCATCTTCGGCAACGTGCTGGTGGTCATCGCCGTGTTCACCAGCCGAGGGCTGAGGGCCCCCCAAAACCTCTTCCTGGTGTCTCTGGCCTCGGCGGACATCCTGGTGGCCACGTTGGTCATGCCCTTCTCCCTGGCCAACGAGCTGATGGGCTACTGGTACTTTGGGCCAGTGTGGTGTGAGATCTACCTGGCCCTGGATGTGCTTTTCTGCACCTCGTCCATCGTGCACCTGTGCGCCATCAGCCTGGACCGGTACTGGTCCATCACCCAGGCCGTGCAGTACAACCTCAAGAGGACTCCGCGGCGGATCAAGTGCATCATCGTGGTGGTGTGGGTGATCGCCGCTGTCATCTCCTTCCCCCCCCTGGTGCCCATCGGCAAAGAGACGGGACAGGAGCAGAGCCCCAACTGCCGGATCAACGAGGAGGTTTGGTACGTCATCTCCTCCTGCATCGGCTCCTTCTTCGCCCCCTGCATCATCATGATCCTCGTCTACGTCAGGATCTACCAGATCGCCAAGGTCCGCACCAGGCACCCGCCGGGGGGCAAGAGGTGCCAGGAGGATGGGAGAACGGGCGTCCCTGCCGGGGTTGGGGCCGCTGCCGCCGCGGGGGGAGGGGGCAAGCAGAACGGTTTCGCCGACAAGGAGATGACCGCCAGCAAGCCAGCGGCCAACGGCTCCAACAACGGCACCGAGCTCGGCCGCCCCGGGCCCCCGGCGAGGGGGCGGCGGGGTCGGGAGGAGGAGGAGGAGGAGGACGAGGAGGACGGGTTCAAGATGGACGAGTCCACCTCCTCAGACCACCAGGACGCCAAGAGCCCCCGTGGACACCCAGCTCAACGGCACCACCACCGAGTCTCAGCTGACCCGGCCAACGCCTCCCCCGCCGGGCTCGGGGGTCAGGCCGAACCCGGCCAGCCGGGGGACAAGGGGGCCAGCGGGCTGGACAGGACAGGGGCGGGGGTGGGGGGCGCCGGCGGGGGCGCTGGCGGGGGCGGGGGGCCGGGGGCGGGGGTGGGCAGCCCCAAGGGGGGCCGTTGGCGAGGCCGACAGAACCGGGAGAAACGGTTCACGTTCGTGCTGTCGGTGGTGATCGGGGTGTTCATCGTGTGCTGGTTCCCTTTCTTCTTCACCTACTCGCTCACGGCCATCTGCAAGCAGTCCTGCCCCGTGCCCAAGAGGCTCTTCAAGTTCTTCTTCTGGTTCGGCTACTGCAACAGCTCCCTCAACCCCGTCATCTACACCATCTTCAACCAGGACTTCCGGAGAGCCTTCCAGAAGATTCTCTGCCGGGGGAGGAGGAGACAGAGGGTTTAAGAGAACTAAATCGGACTGTTTCTTTTGCTCTTTCCTTCCCCGACCTCCCACCACCTCCCCGCTTCGCGCGCGCCCGGGCACACACACCATTCAGACACACGCAACATACACACACTGCACATACCTACACACGCACACACACACGCGCATACACGCATACACACAAAGGAAACTTCTGTACAGCCCGTTTCTCTCGGTTCGACCATGTCCCGGTGTAATTTTTTTGCATGCACTGTTAAAAATATGATAATAATAATAATAACAATAAATAAATAATTAAAAATGTTTTCTAAAAAGTAATCGTGTTTAGCTGACGCAGCTTAAGGGAAAGGGTTGAATTCAAGAATTAACACACACACACACTAAAGCCCGTGTTATTATATAATAATAATCCTCGCATTTGATGTACAGCACCTTATCACGTCTTTGAGATGTCTCAAAGCGCTTCACAGGATACACTGTAAAGTGAATTGAATTATTACTCCTAGAAAAGCGATCCACCAATCGACTAACGACTGGGTTCCTACTCACTGCTGAGTAAACAGAGGCGTGTGGGAGTAAGGAAACTTGCCCAACCTTTCGCCCTGCCCGGGAGTCGAACCCGGGTCCTCTCGCTTGCGAGGTGAGTGCTCTAACCGCTGAGCTACAGGACTCCACAATGCAGTGTTCAGTGCAGAGCAGGCAGTGCTATCACAGCGCCTGTGTACGTGTGTGAGAGAGAGAGATAGCGTGTTGCATCCTTTATAAACTGGCAACGTTGGTAAAACTGTAGATGCAGATTGGATTCGATCTCTGCAGCTCTCGCAAACATCGCCCTAACAACGCTGTAATGTAGAATGTAAGTCTGCGATACGCGGTGGTAGTCAACACTTTCTAACCCCCACAGTTAAAGCCTCGTCGGCAATAAGCTATAATAATAATAGTAATAACCTTTGCATTTGATACAGCGCCTCACCACGTCTCAAAGCGCTTCGCAGAATGTATTGTAAAGTAGAGTGGCCGTGTATTTTGTGGGCGAAGAGCGGCAGCCAATTGTGCACAGCAGCGTCCCATAAATAGTCATGGATCGAGTGATCACATTATTATTATTATTATTATTTTTTTGGAGGGATTATTACCCCTGTAGAAGCGATCCGCCAATCGACTAACAGCCCGATTCCTACTTACTGCTGGGGAAACAGAGGCCTGTGGCGTAAAGAAACTTTGCATTTCGTCCTGCCCGGAAGTCAAACCCCGGTCCTCTCGCTTGCAAGACAAGTGCTCTAACCAATACGCTATAATAATATATTATATATTATCCCCTCCCAGATAAAATGGGTCATTAACTTGACGGCTGCTTGTGGGTCATCATCACCGAGTGCAAATTGGCTGCCACAACTCCGCAGCCACTCCACAGTAAATTCCTGCTAAACACTCTGAGGACGTGATAGAGTGCTGTGCCAAACTCTGGGATAATTATTAATCCAATCGTGCTCTGCAGGTGATGGCAGGAACATCTCTTGCGAACTGAGTCACGTTCTCGGGCGACAGTAACCGACACTCGCTCTCAGTTGCCGATCTTCCTCACTCACGGTCCTTTTTCTATTAAATCCTTGTAGACACAGTGATCGCTCGTGTACTGGGGGGAGAGCTTTAATTGGTGGTGGTCATTGGGTGGTGGGTGGGGTGTTAGCAATGTATTGGTTTGTAAGTTACAGTGATGGGATATATTGTATTAAGGGCTATTGGGAAAGGAGTTGAGGTACAGATCTGCCATTATCTTATATAATGGCGGAATAGGCTTGAGGTGCTGAATGGCTGAATCTTGAATGTTTCTGTGTTTATTCTGTTTCAACTGATGTTTCCTGGTTTTACTGTATTTGCTTTTCAATCCATCCCCCCCCTCCACCCCTCAACTCCACTCGGACTTCAGTCTTTACCATGTATTAAACAAAGCCACATTAAAACAGCTGTCTTCTGTTCAGCTAAATAATAATTAGTAATTCTTATCATCATAATAATAATCCTTGCATTTGATATCACGCCTTATCATGTTATCTTATCATATTTTGCTGACCGTTTGTTTTTTTAGAGGCTACTGACACATCTTTTGACACATGTTGTGAAATTTCCAGACAGCTTAAATGGCTGAAGTCTGTCTCACTTCATTTTTATCTCCCCAAATCCCCTCTCCCTCTCTCACCCCGCCACCCCCCCACCACTCCGTCACCCCTCACCCTCTCTCCCCCCCTCACCCACCCCATCCTTCATGAGCATTATGGAAATAGGCCCAGAATTTCACTTTTATATTGACCAATATTATTATAAATAACAATGATCCTTCCGTTTGATATACTGTAATGTCAGTATATATACAGCGCAATTGCATACAGCAGTGAGTGTCTAACGTGTGATCGACAGTAACACAGTGGTCTTTGCTCGCCAGGCGTGACGAGCAGAGCGTAAAGGTTGACATTGGGTAACGACTAAATGAATTTCCTCTCAAATGGCTTATTCCACGTGCCGTCTGTTTGATATTCGAGCAGCAAGACAGCGCATTCTGACAAGCAAAGCCGGTGCAGGAACATACCCACACGGATCACAGAGTGGGAAACACGGAGATGTGGCTCCAATAATAATGACAATAATCCTCGCGTTTGATACAGCGCCTTATCACGTCTCTAAGCGCTTCACGGAATACGCTGTAAAGTGAATGGACCGCGCATTTTCGGGGCTGAGACGCGGCAGTCAATTGCGCATCAATAAGGGTTTGCACAGGCTCCTCTCTGTGTGATGCCGGCTGTAATGGATCTCCGGCTGTTGTGAGTTATGATCCAGTGAGTTGCCCTTCCTGCTCAGTCACAAGGGGATATCTCCCAGCGCTGTTTTGTTAATGTCCATTAGGCTCCATCGTGAGCCTGATCATAACTTGTCCACGGTGAATAATGGTTTGTGAAATAGCCATCAATCCTCTCTTCACCCAGGGAATCTCTCGAGTTCAGGCTGGCTTCCTGGCCCGTAACAACGGCTGCTGAGAAAGTGATGGAGAACGAGACAGAGACAGTTGGTGGAGGAGGCAGTGTGGTGTGTGATTGTGCTGGGTTTTGGGACGCTGTAGCTCAGTGGTTAGAGCGCTCGCCTCATAAGCGAGCGACCTGGGTTCGATTCGCGGCAGGGCGAAACCTTGTGCAAGTTTCCTTACTCCACACACGGCCCTGATAATAATCCTTTCAAAAAAACAATAATAAATCGGTCACTTCAATCCACGACTGTTTGTGGGACGCTGCTGTGCGCAATTGGCTGCCGGGTTTCGCCCACAAATATACAGTCAATTCACTTTACAGTATATTCTGGGAAGCGCTTTGAGATGTCCCGAAGACATGAAAAGCGCTATATCAAATGCAAGGATTATTATTATTATTATTATTATTATTATTTTTATTATTATTATTATTATTATTATTATTATTATTATTATTATTATCTGACAAGCAGAGATAAGGTGTGTTCACCACGAAGGGAAGGGAGAGGTGAATAACTCGCTGATCTGATCACCTTGTGGGTCCCTTTGTTGCTGGAAAGGGATGGAAAGGACGCAATAAGTAAGTAAGTGAGTGAAATGGGGAATAAATAAGTCCCACATCGGGACTCAAGCTTATAATCTGGGCTAAAGTTCCAGTGCAGTTGCTGGGGGGAAAAGGGTTAGGGTTAGGGAAATGAAACATTTCTGCGTCTGCATCCGTTCAGGCAGGCGGACCTTGAAGATCCCCGCGGTGCTACTAGTACGACAAGGGAAGGGAGTCTCTCCTGGTGTTATCCCTAAACTTGGAGACCTGTAGCGTAGTGGTCAGCACCCTTGGGCGTTCGATTCCCTGGCGGGACGAAGGCTTAGGCAAGTTTCCGTACCCAGCAGTAACTAGGAACACTCTTGTTAGCCGTTTCGTGGATCGCATTTCCGTAGGTAATAATCTCTTCAGAAAAAAATATAATTTCATCACTCAAATCCACGGGCTGCTTGTGGGACCCTGCTCTGCGCAATTGGCTGCCGCGTTTCGCCCATAAAATACACGGTCACTCCACTTTACAATATATTCCGTGAAGCGCTTTGAGACGTCTCAACGTCATGATAAGACGCTATATCAAATGCAAGATTATTATTATTATAAATAAAATGAGTCATTCACCTGCATATCAAACGCTATATCAAATGCAAGATTATTATTATTATTATTCTTATTCTTATTATTATTATTATGAATAGAATGAGTCATTCACCTGCAGGCTCTTATAGGGCCACCTTATTACTGGTACTGTGATTTCAGTAAGATGTTTAGATGCCTGCAAGATGTTTTTATTCTGCTCTCTAGCAATTGAATAAAAAGTGTTGTTACGTGATAGAGAGAGAGAGAGAGAGATTTGTTAGGGCATCACGCAGTCTGTGTACATCATGTTTTGTTGAATTGTACAGGTTCCAGCTGGTTGAGTAGATGATTAATGTCCAGTTTCCTTCAGAAGTCACGAGGTACAAGATGCCTTTGTTTTTTTCACTGGAGCCAATTATTGAATCTTGTCGGGATGTGATGGAAATAAAAAGGGAGCCGGGAACACAGAGTTTAGAGGTTGATGCACTAATCGAATAAAATCACAGAATATTACAGCACAGAGGGAGGCCATTCGGCCCATCGTGCCTGTGCCGGCCCTTTGGAAGAGCGACCCGATCAGTCCCACTCCCCCGCTCTTACCCCACATCCTTGCAATTATTTCAATTGGATAGCACCTATCCAATTCCCTTTTGAAAGTTGCGTTCCAGACTGTAACAGCTCTCTGTGTATTTTTATTTAATATACAGTCAATTCACTTTACAGTAAATTCTGTGAAGTGCTTTGAGACATCTCGACGACGTGATAAGGCGCTGTATCAAATGCAAGGATTATTATTATTATTATTATTATTCCCAGTCCAGGCTGACACTCCAGTTATGCGCTGGGGTATGTATGCTTTGTTGGAGACGCTGTCCTCCGGATGTGATTGGTGGGAATAGTGGGAGACGGGGCTGGTGAGGAAGATTGACAGCAGCAAACAAGATGGGAGGATGGACCAATAACAGTGGAAGGAGGAGAGAGGATGTGAAACAGCAATAAAGCAACATCTTGAATTTATACACAAGACATCATCTCAGAGCTCTGCACAGCGCCGGGTTGGACGCTGAGCAAGAGGGAAGAGAGAGGTATGCCTTAAAGTTGGATTTATAGATAGAATAAGAAGGATGGGGTGTAGGGATTGAAGTAGGGGGTTCCAGGGCGCAGTTACTGAAGGCACGTCCACTGCTGGTGACGTGGAGACAAAGCTTTGCACTGCACTGTGTCGGACTCACGCATGGTTGATAATTTATGGCTGTTTGTGGGACGTTCC